TGTTGGATGAGGAAGCGCGACGGTATCTTTTGCTGGTCGGCCAGAACAAACTTATGCGCGGGTGGGGTCTGGCCCGTGTAGTCCTCGAGGGAATCGTGCACATACACCGTGGTTTGGTCGTACTCGGCTCGGAAGGTTGCGGTAGGCGTTCCAGTCATAGATCGCCTCCAGGTCGTTCATTTTCGTGATGGCCTTTTTGATCATTCTTAAGAAGGTGATCTCGAATTGTGGCGTGGTGCAATCATAGTGTATGTTGCTGATCGTGTTAGTTAGGCGGCCGATAGCGTCGTTAGCTAGTTCAGAGGTCGTTGTCCCTGATCTGATGCCGATATGCGGCTTTTCGATCCGGGTAGATGCCCTTCCGTAGACAGTGGGCATGCATTTGGTGGTAGCTGGCAGGCGGTGGTTTGTATGGCACCTCTGCTGCCATTCTTGTTGGGGTCGTGGTCCTCCTCCTCCTCCTCCTCCTCCTCCTCCTCCTCCTCCTCCAGCCGCCGCCACGGCTGAAGGGCGCGGGACACGCGGCCCTCCCACCCTGTTCATCGCCCGCCAGGGGAGCAGCGCGCGATGCCCACTCGCCCGCGGGGCCCAAGAGGCCCATGATGGCGGCTCTCCTCTTGCTCGCGGCCGTCGGCTTCTCGCCGCGGGCGGCCGCCCGCACGTCGACAGGCGCTTGCCGCGCCCTTGGACGCACTCAGGAACGAGAGCCGCAACCTGCTCAGCACACCAGGCTCTACGAGTACATCCCTCTCTACCTGACGGGCAGCACCCGCACGCAGGATATCACCCGCGAACACTACATGGGCGAGGTCCTCTTCCCTGGGATGAGCCGCCGCCCGACACTGGACGGCCGCCACAGCCTCTTTCAGCACGACTACCACTGGGAGCTCTCCTTCGGCTGGACCAACAAGAGCTTCGGGGGGAGCATCTTCCTACATCAGCGGTTTCTGCAGGCACACCTACGTCTGATCTACCCTCCGCCCGCGGCGCTATCGGGCCGCTGCGGCGCGACAGTGCCGCTCCTCGGACGTGCTCCTCGTGGTTCGGCACCTTTCCGTGCCATCCGAGTCCTACTCATACCGCCAGGTGACCCAGGCTATGACCTCGTGGGCACGCACCATGATGGAGTCTGTGGGCAGTCGTCGCACGCCCTTCCGCGGGGCGGACCTTAGCTCGGCGACTCCGTGGACGAGACGTTTCTCGACTCCTCGTCCCTGCTCGTGCCCGACTTGTGGAGCGAGGTCGGCAGCGCCGTGGGCACCTTCCTGGAGCTGGAGGGCCTCTCTGGACGTCTTTGGCAATGGTTCCTCTCGGACCACGACACCTTCTTTGGCAGCGGGGACACCTTCATAGGGACGCACGGACGATCACGCAGGATCGACTTCTTCTACGCCCCGTCCGCCCTGGAGTCCCACACGCGCCAGTGCAAGGCCCCCATGGGAGCAGGACGCCGCCTCAACATATTGTACGATCGAGACCACCGCTCTGTCTACGCGGGCGACATCTTCGAGGCCCACGCGCTGCGCACCTGGGACTACGACACGATCATGCTTCGTCTGGAGGGCGCCCTGAAGTCGCGCGACCTGCAGCAGGCGGTCACGCTCCTCCTCAAGATGGCGTGCCTGCGCGCCCAGTTGCTCAGGGACCTAGCGGACTCGGAATGGATCAGCATCTTGACCACGCCCACGGCTACCTCGATCGTCGCAGCTCGGGAAGCGGGCAAGATGTACGCAGAGGCGGCGCAGTTCCCCGAGGCGAAGCCCCAACTCACCACATTTGTACCTCGCTCACGCCGAGTTCAAGTACCCGTCGGCCTTCGTGGTGCAGGAGGCCCCGCAGGGGCACGGGCTCCCGCGCACCTTCCACCAGCAGTTCGTTTGCATGGAGACGGGCTCGGAGTTTTTTTCCACCTCAGGCTGCGCACGCGCCGCAGCGACCAGTACGCCAGGATGCAGTTCGCTAGCGCGGACCAGATCACACTGAAGAGCGTCAACCCAGACGGCCCTCGGGAGACTTGTCTCGACGTTCTGGGCGGCCGCCAGAAGATGGGGACGGGCCACCTGGAATCGATGGCCCAGAAACTGCCAGACAAGAACCGCCCTATCCACTACGGCCAGAAGGGCTGACACGGGGGGCGGATCCTACGGAAAGAGATGGGCGACCAGCACACTACGTGACGACGTGAGTCCAGCAGCTTCGCTGTAGCACCAGGCCCCTCTAGTCGCTCTCGCCGCCCCTGGTCTCTAGGGCGCGCCGTCGGCCCTCTTCTTCGGCCTGGTTTCTTTTTTTCCTTCTCGGGGCCTCTGGGGTGTCCAGGGGGCCTGCTCGGTGCTCTCCGCGCCGTCGAGCTCGGCCCCCAGGGGCCAGAGGGGTATCACCCCCCGCCCGCGGGCGTTTTACTGTTTTCCTGTCCTGCTCGGCTCGGATCAATGGTGATCACAGCTGCACGGCGCGCCCACACGCCTGACCTCGTTCGGCCCGAGGAGATCGCACGACTGTTCAGAGGTGTCCCCGAGCGATCTCTCGTTTCGTGAGCTCGAGGGGTGGGTGTCTTCAGACTCACAGCGCAATGCCGGGTCCATCCATCCATCCCTCCTCCTCCTCCTCCTCCTCTTCTCTTCCTTCTCCTCCTCCTGCCTCCTCTTCCTCCTCCTCCTCCTCCTCCTCCTCCTCCTCCTCCTCCCTCCTCCTCATCCTTCCTCCTCCCTTCTCCATCCATCCTCTCTCCCTCCCTCCTCCCTCATCCTCCTCCTCCTCCTTCCTCCTCGTCCTCATCCCTGTTCCTCCTCCTCCTCCTCCTCCTCCTTCTCCCTCCTCCTCCTCCTCCTCCTCCTCCTCATCCTCCCTTCTCCCTCTCTTTCTTCCTCCATCTCCATCTTCTCCTCCTCCTCCTCCTCCTCCTCCTCTTCCATCGGTGCGATCGAACGGGATCCAGACACAAATGATCGCGAATATGGATATTAGGTCCTGCCCACTTTGAACTGGGCTCTTTGTCGACGTCGCTGCGGTCATTGCCCATTTGAGACAGGGGGCCGCCTGCCCAACAGCGGCCGCTTATATCATGCCCATTTTGTCCGTACACATTTCGGGCGTCCAAAACTTACACCTCCTCCTCCTCCTCCTCCTCCTCCTCCACAGCCGCTCGATCTGAATTCTACTCTCCTCTCTCCCCAGACTCGGTTCGAGCGGGGCGGCTTCTCTCGCGGATCTAATCTCAGGGTGCATGATTTCCAAATGTGGTCGTTGATGCGTTTTTTTTTTTGTCGATCGGAAGGGATCGGTGTTTGAAACTCGGTCCATCATGGGGCGGCAATGTTTGGGGCCTCGTGGGTCGTCTTGGGGGCTTCTTGGGCCGTCCTGAGCTGACGGACGCTCGAACGTGTGACGATGCGACATTGTTCGATTAACCGATGGGGAATCAATTCTTTTGGGCTTTTCGGTCCCTACTGGGGGTCCTCTTGCGCTCCCAGGGGTTTCGCTTAAGGGGGCATCCTGGGCTGTCCTGAGGCCATGGGGGGCCGCCTTGGGGTTATTTTGGGCCGATCTAGAGGCATCTTGGGCCACCGTGGTTGCTTTGGGTGCCTGCTTCGGCCGAATTGGAAGCTCGGGGCGCGGACGCACCCGTTTTTTACGAGGCATCGTGGCCTCGGGAGCACGGGCCCATGGTTATTTTGTATGAGGGGTCGTGCCCACGGGGGCAGGGGCAACGCGCGCAGGTGAGAGCTGCCAGGGGGGGTCCCGGAGGAGAACGCAGAAGCCCAAACCCGACGGCACTCGGCATTGCAGCACGTCGCAGCGTGCCAGGAGGCAGGGTGGCGATTCTGCCCTGGAGCACCCCGCACTTGCGGAGAAGAGTGAGGGGCCGGCGAAGGGTGGGTCGCGGGCGGGTCGCGGGCGGGTCGCGGGTGGGCCGCGGGGTGGGTCGCGGGTGGGTGGCGGGTGGGTGGCGGATGGGTCGCGGGTGGGTCGCGGGTGACTCGCGGGGTGGTCGCGGGGTTGTCGCGGGTGGGTCGCGGGGGGGTTGCTGGTGGGTCGCGGGGGTGGTCGCGGGCTGGGTTGCGGGGTTTCGCGGGCGGGTCGCTGGTGGGTCGCGGGCCAGGTCGCGAGTGGGACGACGACAGCAACAAACAACAATAACAACAATGATATCAACACCAGCATAACAATCCGCACCGCAGAACCCCACTGCAGCCACGCACCCAGGGACAGTGAACGACCGTTCGGCCCCCTCAAACTCATATATATATATATATATATATACACACATACATGTGTATATATATGGACGTATGTATAGATTTGTGTATACAGGTAGAGCATAAGTATAAACACACATAAATCTACACACATGCATGTCTCGTGCAAGCTGTGTGCGCGTCTTGCCTCGCGAGCCAGCGAACAAAGTGGCCACGCGAGAGCCTGGGGAGTCCAGCCGGAGCGCAAGATGGCCACGAGGCGACCACAGGCCGAAAGCTTAGGGACCGCGCAGAATCAGCTGAGAGCCAAGCGTGAACCTCTCAGTGCAGACTCTGTGTCTGGAGGCCTCCCACCCCAGGAGAAAGGGCGGAGGGCGAACACACATGTCCGTATCCGCGACTCTGCGTGTCGGGCCCCTGGGCCGCGACCCCGAAGACACGGGCCGTTTGTTCGCGGATGCCCCGCGCGGAACGTGTCGCTGCGACCGCGTATCCGCGTGGTCGCGCCCCGGAATCCAGACCGCGAGGACATGGGTATGGATATTCGGCGGCGAGTGAGAAGGGGCGGACCTTCTCAGAAGGCTCGAAGTCCCCGGGTCTTCGGACAAATTTTCTAAGCCTTCCCCGAAGACAAACCAGACTTCTCAGAAGGCGCGAGGGCTTCTGAGAAGTCCCGCCGCCTTCTGAGAAGGCCTTCTATTTCTCACTTCCCCCCTCGCTCGCCGCCGGGATACGTTCGCGACTCGCGAGGAGTGGCGGGGTGGGGGTGCACTCGCCAGCGCAGGGTTTCCTGGCTCCGCCCTCGGTGGTCGACCCCTGCGATCGGCGCCTGGGCGGAAAAGAGGGCGCGGGGCTCCGTCGCGCGCTCGCGCCTGCGACGGAAGGGTGGGAGGAGGCGGCGGTGGAGAGTGAAGATTTGGCGGCGGAGGAGGAGGAGGGTCGCGGAGGAGGGTCGAGGTGGAGGAGGAGGAGGAGGAGGGTAGAGGACGAGGAGGAGGAGGAGGAGGAGGAGGAGGAGGAGGAGGAGGAGGAGGAGGAGGAGGAGGAGGAAGGCGAGGAGGACGAGTTGGAGGGCGATGTGGGCGTGACTCGTTGCGGCGGCGTCCTTCTGCCGCCTGCTCGGTCATCCTCGCCCACCTCCTCCCTTCGCTACTCCTCCTCGCTTCCGTGCCTCTCCTCCATTCGCCCCCGCGCCGCGGGGGCCAGCACGTTCGGCCAGGGGACGCCCTCGCGAGCACGCCGCGGCCGCCGGATGCGCCCTCGGCACCTTCGCCGCCCTCGCCGCCGCCCCCTCTTCCTGCTCTCTCTCCTCTCCTCGCCGAACCTCTCTCTCCCCTCTCGTGTCCTCCTGTCCTTATTCCTTACTGGTATCTGCTCCCACGCTGCTCCCTTGCCGGCTGATGGCCGTCACATCCGGGCCGTCCCATCTGGCATGCGTAAAGACATGAGCCCGGCGCGATCCCAATCAGGGGAAGGCTTCCTGTTGCATGGGCGCAGTGCTTGGCATTGCTTGGCATTGCTTGGCATTGCGTGGCATTGCTTGGCATTGCTTGGCATTGCTTTAAGGATACGAGGAACCGGGGGCGGGAACCCGGGGAACCCGAGGAACCTCCGAGGAACGGGCAACGTAACAATAGGAGGCACCGGGGGCGGCGAACCCGAGGAACCCAGGGAACCTCCGAGGAACGGGCAACGTAACAATAGGAGGCACCGGGGGCGGCGAACCCGAGGAACCCGGGGAACCTCCGAGGAACAGCCAACGTATCAATGGGAGGCACCGGGGGCAGGGAACCCGAGGAACCTGGGGAACCCGAGGAGCCTCTGGGAAAAGGGCAAAGTAACAATAGGAGGCACCGGGGTCGGAGAACCCGAGGTACCGAGGAGCCTTTGAGGAACGGGCAAAGTAACATTCCGAGGCGCCAACCTTCAACCAAGTGAGCCCCCGTTAGGCAAGCCGACTTGGGGAACGTCGACGACTGTTCGTCCCAACATGCACATCCTGTCGTCAATCGTCCATGTTGCAAAATGCGTGGCAGGGATGGGGCGGGGCGGACACCCCGCGCGAAAGGCCGAAATGTCGCTTTCGCCCCGGCGCCGCGTTCATTCTTCCATCGGGACCCTTGAGACGGGGGGTAATGCAAACGGGGGTCAGTCAGGGCACCAGATCCTGCAGGATCCTGCGAAGACCCCCTCTGGCTGACCCGAGTTAGCGAGCCGCTCGTGGCCGCGAGGCGGCCGCGCATATGGGCTGACCCGGGTTTGCGAAGCCCTGCGGTGCAGTTTTTTTCTCTTGCACTGCAGGTTTTGGTTTCCTGCTGACCCGGGTCTGGATTGACCCGGGTCAGAAGTCACCACCCACCAAACCACCCCAACCCAACCCGAAGGCCCAAATTTATCCTCGATTTCCAGTGGGGGGGGTCGGGGAACGTTGAAAAAACACATGGTATCCGTACCCCCCCCAACCCGAAATTCGGGTCAAATTCGGGTCTTCGGGTTGGGTTGGGGTGGTCTGGTAGGTAGTCAAGAAGATCCCCGATTCCAGGGAGTTGAGCTTCCGCTGGGGCGCGGTGCACACTTGTCGCACGTCACTTTGTCGACGCGCGAGCGGGCGGAAGAGCGCAGCTCTCGCCTCGGCGCCGCGCAGATCCGCCCGAACAGGTGGGTTAGCGTTCCCGCGTCGACGCGGCGCACATCGGTCCCTCGCCGGTGTCTTGGGGGACCAGGAGGCGGAGTTCGACGAGGGCAGTGCTGCTCACGGCTCGAGCTGGAGACCGACACTGTGCCGTCCTTCAGCACCGCGCTCCTTCTGGACGAGGGCGGGAGTCGGGGCGCCCATCGGTTCTCGCGGCACGCCGTTGTCGTGTGGAATAAGTGCGAGGGCAAGGGAAAGGACAAGAACAAGAGCCGATGCGCGCGACCGACGACGACCTGCCCAGCAAGAGTAATAACACCAAAATTCATAACATCCAGAATCGCAACAATAATGGACATATGGGGAACCATAAAAATACGAATGACATAGGACTACTAGCCATATCACATATCTAATTCATCACACAATACGAATGATGCGAATACTAGTAAGAAAATTAATAGCACGAAAATTACTACGACCATTAATAACAATGCGAACAAGACGTCCAACAATATCACCAATGGTCTTAAGACTGCCACGAGTGATAAAACATGCGAATCGTACCGGTAAGCGCACTACTAAAGAGGCTTTGGGGCAGGGGAGAAGGTCAAGCACTGGCGCGCCAGCGCGGCCCTCTGGGCGGCTGCCGCCTTCGAGCGGGGCGGACACCCCGCGCGAAAGGCCGAAATGTCGCTTTCGCCCCGGCGCCGCGTTCATTCTTCCATCGGGACCCTTGAGACGGGGGGTAATGCAAACGGGGGTCAGTCAGGGCACCAGATCCTGCAGGATCCTGCGAAGACCCCCTCTGGCTGACCCGAGCTAGCGAGCCTCTGGGCGGCTGCCGCCTTCGAGCCAGGCCAGCCCTCGCCCGCGGGCAGTGCCGAGGCGGACGGGGCCGAGGCCCCTGGCGCTGCCGGCGAGGTGGCCTTCCGCCGTGGACGGAGCGCCCCCCCCAGCTCTTGGATTGCGGTGGGCCTCGAGGCGATGGTGCCAAACAGAGTGCAAATCTATCTCACCACCCACCAAACCACCCCAACCCAACCCGAAGGCTCAGATTTACCCTCGATTTCCAGTGGGGGGGGGGTCGGGAAACGTCGAAAAAGCACGTGTGAAACCCTTACCCCCCCCAACCCGAAATTCGGGTCTTCGGGTTGGGTTGGGGTGGTCTGGTAGGTAGTCACTATCGTGGTCTTTCTCCATGCAGCACCTTTTTCTCCAGCCTGCCAGGTCACGCCTCCACCCCGCTTTCCACGTGGCCCCGGGGCCATCAGCTCGCTCAAGTCTTAAGATAGGGCTCTCAACTGCCGCGGTCACCAACATGCGCATCTGCGGCCTGGGCGAAAGCACGCTGCCTGGGCTCGTGTGCGTGAGCTCGTCCAGTGCCGTGCCTGAGCGCGCGAGTGATCTACCCGTCAAAAGGGCGAGCTCGCGCTCCGCCGCGTTGCGCGCTTTTTAGGTCAAACAGTGACGGGGTATGATTGCTGAGTTCTAGAATTTGTTGGGGGTTGGACAGTTCTTGTTTCCCTCTTCCTTTGTGCTTCTGCTCCGCCAGAGCTGGTCGATCGCCCGCGCAATCCCGAATCACATCGGATGCCTTGCCGCCGTTTGGCTTCAGCGCCGTCGCGTATCTGTAACATGCACGGACAGTGCAAACATTGCAATCCGCATCTTGTTGCCGCCTTGCTTCCTCTCGTTGCAGCTTCCCCCCCCACAATTCTAGTTCCTCCTCCTCCTCCTCGTCCTCCACCACCTCCTCCTCGTCCTCCTCCTCCTCCTCCTCCTCCTCTTCCTCCTCCTCCTCCTCTCCCCCCGCACCTCCCTCATCCTCTTCCGCTCCACTCAGCCGCTTGGGCTTGGGCGGAAGCAGCTCGGGGGCTGGGGCCACGGTAGGGCCGCCGCCTTTCAAGGGGCCGATGCCGCGCCATAGGAAGCGCGCCGTCGTCGTCGTCGTCGTCGTCGTCGTCGTCGTCGTCGTCGTCGTCGTCGTCGTCGTTGCCGACGTCGTCGTCGCCGTCGTGGACGAACACGAGGAAGACGCCGACGAGGACGACGAACACGAGGAGGACGAAAACTTCGACGAGGACGAAGACGAGGACGAGGACGCATACGAGGACGAAAACGAGGACGAGAGTGGCGAGGACGAAAACGAAGACGACGTCGACGAGGACGGGGTGGTGGTGAAGGGGCATGGACGAGGACGATGTCGAGGATGGAAAACGAGGATACGGCTCCGTGGCGCCTCGACGCCTTCAGCCCATCGGTTGGAACCACGGCCTGGTGCACCACCATGGTTTAAGCACTCGAGGTCAGACCAGCCCGGGTGCAAAACGATGGCGTTGTGGGAGGGCCTTCCAGACCTGCGCTGGCTCCGCCCGCGCGCCGCTTCGTGCCTGGAGGGCGACGGGGCATCTGGATTTTTGTGCTCCATTCGGGGTGGACAGACCTCCTACCCTGACACGTCGATTCAGGAATTGGCCATTTTCGGTTTGCGAGAGGGCGTCGCGGTCGTCATTTTTGCGGGTCCAGGTTCGTCGGTTTCGGGCCCAGGCCGTTTTCACTAAGGGGAGGTCTACTAAAGGGAGGTTTGTCCACCGCCGATCCATGGGGCAACGCAGCCCAGGGGGGACACGTTCCGACAGCTCCTTGGGATCGAGCCAGGCCGTGGGGAGAAGCCGAGGGAGATTGCCCTCGGTCCTCTCTTGCCGCCGCTGCGGCCGGGTCCCGTGGAATCAGGAGGGGAAGAACGACACACACACAGACACCAATCATCGTCGATCCCCAGGAATGGATGGAAAAATATGGGAAGTGGGGGGGAAGACGACCATTCAGAACACAGGAGAGAATGTGGGGCATCCTGGGACTTTGTGTGGATTTAGTTGTGTGTCCCTGGGCCCCTTCATTGAAGCCCGCTCGGATATCTCCAGTGGGCTGGGGGCGTGGCCAGAAGCTTGCCTAGACAGGTGGGTTTGAGGACCGTGGGCCAGGACGGCCTCGGGCCAGTCTGATTCCTGTGCCCAACTGCAGGGATGAGGCTACTAATCAGGATGGGAACAAAAACAGACACAATTAGTCGTCGATCCCCGGGAAAATATGGAAACATATGGGAAGTGGGGGGGATGACGAAAACACAGGAAATATGGGAAACTATTGGGAATCCTGGGATTTGTGTCTATTTATTTGTGTGTCCCAGGGCCCCTTTAACTAG